CATAATCCACCGCAAATCCCAATTAAGTGTACCCAAAACACCAAACCCATCATAGTATATATTGTAAGCCATAGTATAAATTAGGGTCTGTAGAGGTTACTCCGCTTCATCCATGCATGTGGGGGGTTTCACGCAGTTCCAGGCCGTCTAGGAGGGGCCTCCAAGGCGGTCCAGGGGCCTCCAGGGGCCTCCAGGGGCCTTCGGGGGGTCCAGGGACCTTGAAAAACCCAACACACATCATTTTGAACGAAAAATGCGCCCGCCGCGTACCGCAAAAGCCTCGAACCTTCGGCGAGGCTGAAATTTCATGCGGGATGGTCGGGCTGGACTAGGCCACCCACCATGGCAGGGGGGGAGGGCGGGGGGGGCCAGGCTGAGGTGTGTCTGCAAGGGGGAGTAGAGTTTTTAAAGGGATCTGAACGCCCTGAGGCTGGATGCCTCGGCGAATATGGTTATGAACAGCCCTTAATAGGACCCCTAATACAGACTGTTACTGGGTGGGGGCAGTACCCAAGGTTTAGGTAATATGAAGCACTCCTCCCCACTCCTCATGGCAAATATGTCCCCCGAAGTAAAAGGTCTCTTGCAGGGAATAGTCGTTTTTGGGGGTGGGGATGTTAGTATGTAGGGCGTAGTCATGATGAAGCACCCCCGCAACCCCCCCATACGAATTTTCTGTGTTAGAAGCCTCTGTTTGTTCTTAGTACGGGACGTACCTGCTACTAAGGGACTTGACGCTCGCCACTTGCGCAACAGCTCTTGGCGTGGCTACTGCCGCATGGCAATGTCCAAACATGAGTTTCCCCTTATACACCCCGAAATACTAGAGTCCTTCGTTTAGGTACCCCCAAAACAGGGTCCCTGGTTTCGTGAAACTCAAACGCGGACAGACATGAAACACAGTTTTACTTGTTGTCTCCTTTGATGTGAGGCTGGGGGCTAGTGTCAAGTTTGCCACTGCGTTTAACCTGGGTCAGGAAGGAGGCTGTGTGGAGACAGTGCGCGTGTTGCTCAATGCTGAGACAGAAGCTGGGCGGCACAAAGGCAATCCAGAACCCCGATGAAGCAGAAATGTCTTTTTCTGACTCCAGAGAGTACTTGTAGAAACTCAAGACTCCATACCCCTGCAACCCTAGTTCTCTTCCTAGGGAAGATTTACAAAGTAGATCCCCATAAGGAACTCCTCGGAAGTAGCCTATCATAGTCTAGTGTATTATACTGTGGGTTCCAGTATCTCAGGGTTTTGGTTAGTCAAGCTCCTGCATGGCGTTTTGAGTCTGTATCCTGGGAGAACTGTCGGAGGTCTTGCGAACTACTCGGGGGTAGGCTGTCAAGGGAGTAGGTGGAGAAGTTGTGTGGAGCAATGGTTTTGGTTGCTGTACCCTAAACCCTAAACCCTCCCACCTTGCTTTTCAGATCCAAAGCCGGTTGTGTGGGGGAAATCCGAGCTCTTGATTGAGCGGCCAGGGTCCCCTTCAGAATGATAAGCCTCCCAGAAAGTCGGGTTCCTCATCAAATACCTTTCTGATCCCAAATGGAAGATGTAATTTCCATCGTTTATTTGAGCTGAACTGTTGTGTTCCTTAGATTTCGATTGGTCTCAAACAGTCTATAAAATGTTGAGTACAAGGTTGATTTAATTTTCACCGTTTTTGATCTGAATTGCGTTCCTTACATTTCGATTTATTTCAAGTAGTTTACAAAGCATTACGTACAACGTGGTCTTTAACGTTTTTTGATCTGAAATTTTGTGTTCCCTAAATTTTATTTTGTCTCAAAGGCTTCATAGATACATGTTTATCAAGGGTCTTTGTTACGATCCGATCGATTTTGATTAGCCTTGTATTTGGTTTTGATTAGATGGTTTTAGGTGGGTTTGCAGTGAAATTTAGTCAGACATTTTGATGCTAATGAATGTGTATTTGTTGTCATTAGGTTATATTTGATGTTAACTATCTTGTAACAACTGGTCTCCATGAAGGCTTCATTGTTCATCAGGTCTTCATGGGTCTCAAGTGGGTTTTAATGGGATTTTAAGTCGGCTTGAACTTGACTTGATGTTACGCAAGTATGAACTGACTTTTTATTGATCTTAATGAGCCTTTACTTCCGAAACCAATGGCCGTGAAAACATATTTTTGCAGTCCGGGTTTAGCCATAAATGTCGGAAAGATCCTCTCACGCAAGGTCCGTAAGAGGCAGCTCAGGAAAGCGCTTGATTCTTCAATTGCACCCTAAGCCCTAAACCCTACTAGATTGGAATAGACAAAACAGGTGTCCGAATGGGCTCTCCTATTCTAGTTTTGAAGAGCAGCCAAGTGATTGGGTCCTCCTAAAACTATTGTTTGCTAGAAAAGGCCTGATTAAGCAAAACCTTCCTTTGTTGGGTTTTTAGGCTTCAGGATTTTGAGCCTTAGCTTCTGGAGCCTTAGGATTGGAAATTGGACCTTAACCTTACACTGAGCCCCTGATTAAGAAAACCTCGGACTTGGGGGTCTGGAAATTTTTGCTGTAGTTTCAGGGGGCTTTAGCCAACAACATACCTCTGGGGGGTGGTGGTTGGAGGTTGGGGTTGTGATCGCTATTGCTACTTCTGCTACTGCTGCTGCTGCCGCTGCTGCCGCTGCTGCCGCTGCTGCCGCTGCTGCCGCTACTGCCACTACTGCCGCTGCTGCCGCCGCTGCTGCTGCTGCTGCTGCTGCTGCGGCTGCTGATGTTGCAACTTTTCTTGCTGCTGCTGCTGCTGCTGCGCCTGAGTTGTAACAGCAGAAAAGTGTAAAAAGAGATAGAGTAGCAGTTGTCAATGCTGACGGAGGAATGTGGATGAGGAGTTCAGTTGATATAGCTTTGCTTTCAACTAGGATCCCGTTTGCCACGCTGAGGATGTGAACAAAGTTGGCGATGGTGGTACCCCGCTGCAAAGGGCATCTCGGAAAGGGTGCATTGGCATTGTGAAGTTACTGATCGCTGCGCGGGCTGACGTGGACAGGGTTTGAAAACGCACGCAGTTTAGGGTTTAGGGTTTTGATGCAGACACGCTGCCTTTGAAACGTCGTTTCCGCAGAAATGGCTTACCGACCCCTAGGTGTTCTGCCCAGAAAGCGCCTGTTAGCTCTTTGCCCACATATCGGTCCTCGTGTCCTTAGTGTGTAGACGTCTTATCAGGTTGCTGCGATTGAGGCCTCATTCTTCAAGCCCGGGCATCCTAGCATCACTCATTGTTTAAATCCTAAACCTAAAACACCAATCACAAAGCCCTAAGCCCTGAAACTCATTTGTTTGTTAAAGCTAGAAACACAACCAAACCGCGGAAATGCGCAGAGCGGCATGGGTCTCCCGCCTTGTAGCTGTCGTGACGACGATGCGTCTTGACGGCCATCTGAACATGAGGGGTGCGAGCATTGCTCTTGGACTCTGGGTAGAAGAGTGTTGGGATGAACGTGTGTGTCATGCAGACGCAGGCTAGCAGAGGGTAGACTCTGAGCCTCTAAGTTACGTCCAGCGGAGATGAGAGAAGGGAACCAAGGCGAGCAAAGGCAAGGGCTGAACAGATGCTTGGAAACTCCTGGACGCGGCTGTGAAAAGTAATGATAGGGCCGAGCGAAACGCTGACAGCCCAGATGAGGATCAGCATGGCGACGAGAGGAGGCAAGCGGTCCCAACATCGAACAGCGAAGGTCCAAGCAGTTGGGCCGACGAAGCCGCGGCGATGCGGACCCTGACGGCATCAGTTTCCGAGCTCAGAAAGAAATTCACCTAACCGCCGGGATGCCAAGAGAGGTAGGCGAAACGACTTTCGCTGAACACTCACCTCCTGGTACCCAAATGCAGGCGCAGACAACGACCCCAAATGCCTTGAAACTCCAACGGGCGCCCTGCCACTGTCATGAAGAAGGTCCCGAGGATTAACAAACTTGAGTCCTGATCGCTGATGCCATGGCCGCCTCAGACCTTGAATGCCCGCGACACTCGAAGCACAACAGCCCGGACGCCTAGACCTTAAATGGCAGTTTCCCAAAATAGGGGGACCCCAATATAGACCCAAATATACTATAGTCCTTATTATGGGGACCCCCAAAAATGGTACCCCTAATTTTGGGAAACTACTAAATCTTGAAGTTTGCAGCCCGACAGGACAAGGATAATGCCTCGACCGCTGCCATGGATCAGGAAACAGCACTTGCAGCTGCAGCTTCTGGAGGCTTCACTGATATCGCACAGCTGCTCTTGCAGTCCCGCGCAGACATCAACAAGCCTTGTATCTGTGCGATGTTCATGGCAGCTCTTCGGTTCCACGACCTCTTTGCAAGCTTGGGTTAAAATCGGTTACGTTCATCCTTCTAACCTAAGTAAGCGTACCATGACACTCCTGCACGCTCAGTGTAGGTTTTGGGATACATTGATCATGCTTTGTCCCGCTCCGATTGCCTCAATTAGCTGATCAGCGTTTGTCTTGCGTCCGCGGACTTGGATGAGAGGTTACCTAACAAAGCCCCTCATGCAATCCACAGCCATGTTGTTTGCATCTGAGGGAGTCCTATTCCTAGCTGCCGTTTCGAACAGATCTGCTCACCCCACCTAAACCCGAAACTGGCCTTTGGTTAGCTAGGAATGAAGGAATGGATCCTCATAGTAGTCCCTATATAACCCACAATAGTAGTTTCTTCTCTTCCGTTCCTTCAGTCTCAGCTAACCAAAGGCCAGCAAAGCCTAAACACCTCTAGTCCCCCTTAAGTAGATAGAATATGGACTTGGGTATATTTTGAATAAGATCCCCACATGCCCCATATTCTATCTACTTAAGGGGGACTATAACCCCTAAACCTTAAATCCTAACCCCTAAAGAGTAGTTTCCATTTTCTTTTCCATTATCCTTATATAAGCAAACCCTAAACACCTAACAACCTGCAACTCCTGAAGCCGGCTCCTAAACAGTCCGTGCATGACCTCCGCAGTGTGCTACGCGGCCTACGGTACTCGGTTGCGGTTAAGGAATTCAAATCAAGTGACCATTCCAGGGAACCCCTTTTGTGTATTGTTTCTTGATATTAAGGTGGTTCAGTTTGAGTTCTTTAACAAGAGCTCAGTAGGCAAACATGAAGACTTCAGCCCTGTCCGCTCTCCACTGGCTGCGGCATGCATCGACGGACATATCGACATAGTCCCTTGCCTCCAGCTTAGAAGTTGTCAAGTGCCGATTTCAACAGGTAGCAGGAAATTGTCAACGTGAGCAAGGAATGAAGAATGGATCGTCATATGTAGTCCCTATATTATCCCCAGCAATTAATAGTAGTTTCCAAAGAACAGTTTCTGCCTTGGTACGGCTGTTGAGGGTTTGTGTGGCCGGAAGTTTTGCAATACACACCATCGATATTGTCAATTTGAGGTTTGTTCGGAGTACCCTATACCACGGCCCTATACCATGATTACACACGGACTAGGCGACCGCAAAATCAGTAATTATTTTAGGCTTGTACAGTGCTCGGCGGAACCGCCAGCGTTTCCATGCATGACTTGAGCATGGGTCCAACCGCCTGTGCTGGCTCTGTGACTTGTTGCAGATGGAGAGGGCACCTAGCAAACCCAGCTGTGTGGGTTGTGAATGCTTGTATTGGTTTCTTGAAGAGGGGTCTTGTGCGGTGTGCTGCTGCCTGTTGCCTGTTGCAAGCCTTGACTAAATGGGCGGTCAACTTACTGTCTTGGACCACCTGCCAGTGGTGGATTGCCTTCCCACTTCCTTTTGGACACGACTGTTGGAACTCTAGGCTTCCCGGCCCGGGGAAGTCTAGCACTGGACTTGTTACTGGAAATTCGACAAGCCTGTGAGACTCAAGCCGCGTAGGGTTTGGGTTTCAGGGTTTTCAGGTTTGGGGTTTCTTGGGGTTCAGGTTTGTTTTGTTTTCGCCGTTGTTTTTTCCATTTTATTTTGATTTCTTTTTGGCCAGGGTGTGTTTGGTCCTTTTGTTACTGCTTGGTTGCCTCTTGAGCTAGGTGCGTCAACTGCTAGATGCAAGAGCTGACGCGAATTCTCCTGAAGCATTCTATGCGCTGCCGAACCGTCATTCGCCGTTCGATCCTCCGCGATTTCTTACGCCGCTGGGCGCTGCATGTATGCGCCTAGGCTGCACATGACGGACTTTAGCTTGTCATTGGGGGATCTTAAAGGAACGTCACGGTGTATGTTTGCGCGATAAGTCGGAGTACCTACCTAGACCTTTCAATGCACTACCTTTTCGGGTATCCTGAGACCCTAACCGAAACTTTATACCAAACGCAAGATGGAACTACATTGAGGGCTCAGGAAACTACTGTTAAAGAATCACTCAGACGGCCTCCCACACGGTTTTCGGGGTCCCACTTACAAGATTTTAGCATGTTGAGGTTTCTTTTGGGGCCCCTGAGACGTGAAACCCCTCATGGCGGTGCAACTTTGCGATACAGCTTCGCAGTGTTACGGACACCTTCAAACCTGCCGCAAACCTTAGCCTCTGCTGCTTTGTCTTCCACACTTTGTTGGCGCAGCCTAAAATCACAAGGGAAACTCGAAGCCCAAAACCTTAAACCAACTGTGTGACCAGGGGCAGCGATGAGAACAGTACCGAGATTGTGCAGCTGCTGCTGGCAGCTGGAGCCGACACGGACGCGCCCAGCGCAATTCCTGCTGGTTCGCTATCTTTGCGCCAAGGCTCCAACATCTTGAGTCTTGAGAGACATTCTTGATTATATGAACTGTAGTCCGAACTCCTCAAAGGGGTTATATAGGGGAAAATAATAGGGGTTATCAAGGGGATACTAGGAGTTTAGACTATAGCTCATATAACGCCAACATCTTTTGAAGGGAATGGTAGGATTGTATTGGGATTTGGCATGGCATATCCTGTCCCACACTCTCGCTTTCCCGTTTCTGGGTGCTCACGTTCAGACAAAATTTGCCTCATTGGCAAGTAATCCTTGGGTCCAACTGATCTGAGGTTTGGAGCAGTTTCGTGGTTCATTTTTTGTTAGCTGGCAGCGTCCCTAAAAGCCCATGAGACGTGTTGAAACCAACTGGAACCCTATACCCTAAACCTTAAGCCAGGCTTAAATGCTGCGACATCAAGGACTGCTTTGCATCCCGCCCTGTGCTGCCCCATCAGCTAGCCCTAGCAGCCCAGTTCTATCCCGGAAACGCCGAATGCCTGCGACCCGCGAGTGGAATCTCATGTGGCCTGGAGTATGTCATGGTCGCATTTTTGGTGCCATGTAAGCTATAGTCTTACTAAACTCCTTAAAGGGGGGGTTACAAAGCGGATTACATAGGGGAGTATTATAGGGGTGATGAAGGGGGATCCTAGGAGTTTACAAGATGGCTCATGCAAAGGTGCCTGATCTTCCCGAGCCAAAATCATGGACCCCAAGCCCCATATCCTGAACCCTCCAAAGACCCACGCCCTAAACTCTAAACCCGAAACCCTAAAGCCTATTTGGCTTCAGCCCTACAGTTAATTTTATAAGCAATCCTGCATGACCTTCATCTACTACAAGACCGTAATTCCCAAGGTATAGGTACTTAGGATCATGTAGGATTAGCTTTATCCACTCTATAAGCCCCTGTATAATCTCAGTTTCCATAGCATTCTCCTTTTCTTTTCCATTTGATGACCCATTACCCCTGAACCCTAAGCTCTAAATCCAGTATCCATCGCAACCTAAACCCTAAACCCCAAATCACAAACTAGAAAACCTAAACTCTGAACCTTAAACCCTAAACCCAGGCCACTGTAAGCTCCAGGCAAGACCTTTAGCGGCAGCCTCCCAGTTTGGCGTGCTTCACGTGGTGCAGCTCTTACTCGAAGTTCGAGCCGATAAGGAGACGCTTAAGGGTTTTGGGCTTAAGGTTCAGGGCTTAGGATTTAGGGTTTAGGGTGTAGGATTTAGGGTCTGGCCTTTAGGGTTTAGGATCCAGGGTTTGGGGTTTAGGATCTAGGGTTTAGAAGTTTGGGGTTTGGGGTTGGGGGTTGACGATTTAAGGTTTAGGGTTTGGGGTTTAGCTGTGGGGGTTAGGCCCTAGGGTTTGAGGTTTAGGGGTTTTAGGATTTGGGGTTTACGATTTA